TAGATTTACACAGACTACAAAAGTGGGCAGATGAGAACAGGATGGGGTTCAACGTAGACAAATGCAGGGTGCTGCACCTTGGGAGAAGGACTCCACAGCACACATACAGGCTGGGGAGTTCCCTCTTGAAAGCACAGAGGCGGAAAGGGATCTTGGAGTCATTATTGAACATGAGCCACCAATGCCAGACCGCAGCCAGCAAGGCCAGCCAGACCTTGTCATGCATCCAAAGGTGCATCTCAAGCCGGTCCAGGGAGGTGATACTCCCCCTCTATGCGACACTGGTAGGGATGTGGCCAGCCTGGAGAGGGTCCAGAGGAGGCCACTCGCTTGGTGAGAGGGCAGCAGGACAGGCCCTACAAAGAGAGACTGAGGGACCTGAACCTGTTCAGCTTCAGCAAGAGGAGGCTGAGGGGGGACCCGGTGGCTGCCTACAAACTCATCAGGGGGGATCAACAGCAAATAGGCAGAGCCCTTTTCTGCCCAGCACCACCTGGGGTGGCGAGGAACAATGGTCATGAGCTGATGGAGAATAGGTTTAGGTTGGAGATCAGAAAGCAATATTTTACAGTTCGGGTGGCCAAAATCTGGAACCAACTTCCCAGGGAAGTGGTCCTCACCCCTCCCTTGGGCAAGTTCAAGAGGAGGTTGGACGATCACCTGTCTGGGGTCTTGTGAACCCAGCATTCGTTCCTGCCTGTGGCAGGGGGTCAGGCGAGATGGTCTGTTCAGGTCCCTCCTGACCCAAGCTACTATGACACTATGAAACACCCAATGGTCCCAAGGAAGGCTTAAAAACAGACAAACCAACCAACCAACCAACCAACCAACCACTGACGTGGGTAGCAGGAGAGGGGAAAAAAATCCCCCCAGCCCCTTGAGGCAGCCAGCAACGCTCAGGAACGTGGGAAACAACCACAGCGCGAGCACAGCACAGCTACTCCGACATCACCCGAACCCGATGCCCGTCGGCCCTCTTCCTGATGCTGCGAGCGGATCAGGGACACCCCAATATCTCACTTCGCCGAACCACGCAGCATCAGCTTTGACAGCGATGATTTTTGAACAGCACCAGGCCTAAAAACAACCCTTTTTTTTTTTTTTTTTTTTTTTTTTTTTTTTTTTTGTGGGAATGGTCCAATTTACAATCGATTTAAAAATCAGTTTTCTTCCCGTTTTTAACATTCATTCCTTTCACTTTCCACATCCGTTACGCGCATTAGCCCGGCCGTTTTTATTGATGTATTTGTTTTAAGCCACAGGTACCTCTTTGCGCTCCTAGCCAGGCCTTTTTTTTTTAATGTATTTATTTAACGCAACGTTACCTCTTTGTACTCCCCGTTGCGGAAGACGCGGTAGCCGTCGGGGGGGTGGAGCTGCACAGTGGTGTCGCTGACCACTTCCACGCAGCGCTCCGCGTCCTGCTCGCCCAGGGGACGCACTCTGCAGTACACCTGGGGCAAGACAAGCAG